TTTATGTCCACAGAGTATGACATACCTATGAGCGTCATTGGATGACTTAACACACACACCAAAATAAAAACAGACTTTGGTCTATTATACTATAGAAAATACAAAGAGCAATTGTTTTTGGAATGTCGAATGTTCCGTTTTTGTGATCAATGATTCAAAGTATAATTGGACACTATTATATATATATAAAGCTTTCAAAAAAACATTTTCTCTATGTATTACTATATGTTGGATTTTCAATAGTCTTTACTTACCTGAGAGGCGACATAAAATAAGTATAACTATGTGCGATAGTATTCCCACATCCGATAGAGAAATCATCGTCAGAAAAAGCACAGGAAATCACACCTTTTTGTTGTATTTGATAATTTTTAACACAAGTTCCTTTAGACTTTCATTCTACAAATCAACTTATCTTTTTAAATGTATGAGTATCTTCAACAGTCAACAGGATATGTATAGACCTAGTGGGTTATGTATAATTGTTTATCGGTTACATTATTGGTGATCAATTAGTTTGATCGACTATCTTTTCATGGTACCCGTTTTCTTATACAACCACTCTCTTAATACATCAAATACACATCGTTCTTTGTCAGATAACTAGTCAGTCCGTAACTCATGTCTAGGACCACGTGTATCTTACATTCGTATTTTTAAATGTGTATGTTAGTTTGCTAACTGATTGATTAAGCTGCTTTTCTGAACTAATAGTGCATATGTGTTTATCAATACAGATAAGGTGTCGAAAATGCAAGATGAATAGATAAAGAATGACAACAGCAATAAATTGATCTAAATATGTGATTGCAAGCAAAGTTTATAGCTAGTCATATACCCAATCATGCATTAAAGTTAAAAATGAAACACAATCGTTCTAAACCTCCGTGTGTAAGGTAATGTCTAGACATATGAAATTGAAATAATATAATGATACCAATACCCACAGGCTGGTATCGAAATATTTGTCCGCTGTGACGGAGCATGCTATTTTTCATTAAAACACTTAGAATACTTTACGATTTATTTTTTAACTCATATGTTTCGTTATACCATACAAAATTACTTACTCCATGCAATGGATATATCATTTGCGGGTAACTTTCACTTCTGTTTGAAGTCCAATTACATTGGGAAGAAAAGCTATTGAAAATGGCGCCGGAGTATCATACTTCAAAATGTACCATTTCTTGTTCAACTTTCTAATGGCACGATATAGTGACACGATAATATTTACACATGGTTTCAGCATAACTATGAAGGTATAAATGAGATGTTGATGTATTTGGTCTTTTCAATTCTTTTATAAAAAATAATGTTTAATTTTTTTGTCCGCTGTGACGGAGCAGTTGCAAATGTGAACTGTGAAAATGCTCCGTCACAGCGGACAAAAAATATTAATTTTATTTTTTATAAAAAAAATTAAAAAGACCCAATGCATTAATATATCATTAATACATTTAGAGTTATGCTTAAAACATATGTTAATATTATCGTGTCACTATATCATGCCATTAAAAAGTTAAAAAAGAAATGGTACATTTTAGAGTTTGACACTCTGGCGCCGTTTTCAATAGATTTTACTCCTAGCGTTATTGGACTTCAAACAGAAGTGAAGGTTACACGCAAATGATATATCCATTGCATGGAGTAAGTAATTATCTTTGATATAACGAAACATATGGGTTAAAAATAAATCGTGAAGCATTCTTAGTGTTTTTTATGAAAAATAGCATGCTCCGTCACAGCGGACAAATCTTTCGATACCAGCCTGTGATACCTATGAAATATTATATAAGTGTTCGCGTTATTCAATTACTGTTTTTTGTTTTCATTGTAATTTCGTAAGTTACTGGATCTTAAGTAACACACACCTAATACGATGTGATAGTAAAATAAAACAGTATTTATTAATTCGAAATGTTATGACAAATTATGAATTAATACAGACTGCACATATATGTATATTAGATTAATCTTTGTAATGAAACGGTTTATACACCATCAATAATTTAATTAATAACCCTTAGGCGAGTTACGCTGGTTGTATCAAGATGGATTTCACAAGCACGCGTTGCGTTATTCTTGTTTTTACAATCATGTTTGGATTTGATATCGCAACGTCTCAGGTAAGATTCGATAACTTTGGATAGACTTTAAATGTGACAAAATTCCCGATGCTAACCAAGTCAACAAAGTCATTGTGCATGACATGAAAATGCCCCATGAGTATAATTTGAACTTAATATTACATAAAATGCATACTGCGAAAATTGAACACGATCACTACAGTAATAATTAACGAAATGGTAACACGATTCATTTTGGAAAACCTTGTTTAAACGACGGGTACCTTATAAGCTTTATTTATTTGTTGTACCTCATTTTGCCATGGACTTGATCTCATTCAATGTTTCATTACTATGCAGCTCTGTTCCCGTTTATCGACAACCCTTCAAAATGGAAGTGTCAATCCGAAATGCTCTAAGAAGGGATGTTCTCAGATGACAGTCAAGTGTTCAAGCTGCCACAGACTAGTTGGTCCCAAGAAAATTAAATGCATTAAAGGACGATGGGCTCCATTAAAAAGCACATGCATCCGTAAGCAATTGTTCTTTTGTGTTTAAGATATACCGTGCTTTAATGCATTGGTAACATTTGCCAAGATTCATCGGACGGCGCGCGGCTGATTGAGTATTCTAGTCAAAACCGGGCGCCGGCCGATGAGTCGGAGCAAACATGACCCAGGCATAAATTGATGATAAACAAGCACTGATATTTTGAAAATGTAATCGGTAACGTTTCCTCATGTAACCCGCGCAGGCTGACCCTGAATAATTCTAAATAAAACTATCCATTACTAAACTCCCGTGTGAGTTTAGTAAAATAGCAAAAATGAGCTCTTTGGCGAACCCTAAGTTGCGCCCCTATGTAGACCAAATTATATGACACAATTAAACCAATTGAAGGTATTTTCTGCGAACGACCAAAGTTAGGAGCAAACACAATAGTTTCAAGTAATAGCACAAAATGTGGGACAGTCTTGGAGGTAAAATGCGCGGCTGGGTATGGGTCCTCGCAAACATCTAAGATGCTCTGTAAACCATCGAAAAAATGGAAGGGGCAACCATTAACGTGTTCAAGTAAGTAATTGCATAAGGAATCAATAGTGACGATAAATCGCCCAAAACACTGAGTTTCAAAACATGTCATATTAAGTAAATGCCCCTTGTGCATATTGCAATCTTGGAATGCGCCATATCTTCCATGCATATTCAAGTTTTAGGGGTGGAAATACAATAACAATATTTACGTTAAAACCTGATTATCTAATTTGAATATATTAAGGAATTGATGACACATGTAGTGACCTCACCATACCTGAAAATGCATTACTGGTAGCTGGTCGTCTTGGAAAAAATAAAGCCGGGGAAACCGTAACATTTCAATGTAATAACCATTACAAATCATTTGGAAAAAGGACATTAACTTGTCTAGATGGTGGTAAATGGAGTGGTCTACCCATAATGTGTAAACGTGAGTATACCTTTAAAGTACTAGGCCTAATTCTGTTGCATAATCTACATTTCGAAATGATTGATACACATACAGGTACCTATACTGCGTAGTGCGTACAGATCTAGAGTTTAGTAATTAACTACCGACGAAGCTCTCTTTTGAGAAGAAAAGTCGAGCGAATGCAAAGGGTAACACATACCCCATTGTTATATCCCCAAAAATACATTTAAAAAACATCTTAAAACATAATTCATCAAACGTAAAATAGATGTACAATGTCTACTTCAGAGCTAGACTAATGAATGTGTGCGACCTTTTTACATCTTGCCTTGAATTTAATTATGTTGTATCAACATTTATCTGATATACAGATCATAATATTAGAGTTTATAATTAGTAGACATATTCTATTGTCATGAACAATGGTGAAGGTGCCCAAATTGGTAAGAAATATTTTGTTTTTTATTACTGCACCCTTGGGTGCTATATTGTGATCAGTAAAACGGGCGGGTGGGCGGATCAATCTTGTCTACAGGTTTCCAGCATCCGATACCGTTGCAGGGATTCATCTGAAATTTAAGGGATGTTTTTACCTATTACATTTTAGAACTGCAAAAGTTTTTCGGCATTTTTTGGTGAATGTTAATTGGGCCATAAAAATCTTGGCTGTCTAGACTTGTCTACAGGTTTCCAGCCAGACCTTTTCATGGATTCATCTGAAATTTCCTGAGCTCTTTTTACATATGCACGTTTAGAATTGATTAGTTTTTGAATAATATGGGTAAAACTTAAAATGGCCATTTTGGATTTTCTGTCCTAAAATATTGTCTGTCGAGGTTTTCCAGCCAAACCGTTTGATGGATCCATCTCAAAATGTTAGTGATGTTTCTACGTATGAAAGTTTAGAGCTAATTAGTTTGGTAGTCTAGATAGGTAAATGTTAGGCCATTTTTTGATTTTTCGTCCCAAAACTGTATTCTACATAAGGTTGAGATTCTGTTCACTCTGCCTCTTGTTTTGTAAAGTAGCACTATCTATCTAGGGATGTGCGGTTGTTGTAAAATTAGTCTTTTCAGGTATTGCAATTAATTTGTTGAAAAAAATTATACTTAAGATTGGAGAATTAAAATGTTGTCCATTGCTGTTATGTGTCGGGCAGAATCTAATTTAGCTACAGGCCTCTGTGAGCCCCTCTCTACTCGACGAATCATGTCCTTATGCATATCCTTGTCACACTTGTTGTAAGGAGGGGGGGGTGACAAGGGCTTGTAACCAGACTAGGTACAATCACGCTTTATTTCAAACAGCGCCCCCTATAATTCACACCTCGCCTCACGCTACTTTAAAAACAAAAATAATTATTTCTCACCTCTTTGGGCACCATCACCATTGTTCATGAGACACTAGAACATGACTGCCAAACAATAATCAAGTTAAATTCCATTCGAAATTTTTGCAAGCAAATAATAGAAGCAAAACTATTGCCTTCTTAACTGCTTAATATATATTTTGATTTCTACAGTGGGAGGTCGATGTCCAGACATTTCCATAGGTGAAAATAATGGTTTAGAAGTAATAGAGGGCAAAACAAGTAACAACATATATGGCGATCGAATACGATTCAGATGTAGGCTTGGTTTAATATTGACTGGGCGTCCAGAGATCAAGTGTAGATGGGATGGTTTCTGGACACTGGAGACGCCTATTTGTATAAGTAAGATTATAACCTAGACCAATCCAATAAATATGCTAGCTTCAACAATCTTCTGGTGTCACTTGGCAAATCACTATCTATAAATGAAGAGCCTACCCCCTAGTCTCTTGCAAGTTCTCACCTCGTTCCTGACAAGTTATGCTAAACGAGCTAACTGTGTTCGGACTGGCTGGACATATATATGTTTTTACTATTTAGAGCGATAATGTATAACATTTTCTGGCGGCAATCCCATTCTGCACGAAGTTCGTGGGATAATTAGTACTTAAAACTAGATGGTTCTACTAAGAACGGAATCTTGAGCAATAAGATCTTTTTGCGAACTTCGTGGACATATCAAAACGGGATAGTGCTCTAGAATTTCGAGCCTGTTCAGTTTTTATGGCGGCCATACCATTGTAACTTGTCAATCATATTATCTTACTCGCCGAAAAAAAATCGTAATAATATCTTAGCATGTTTCAGGTGAAACAGAAAGATGCTTTGAGTATCAGAATGATAAAAATCTTTAAACCTTCAAGGAATGGTCATTCCACATTGCACTGAGTCCATGGCTTAACTCTTTAAACAATTGTTCGGTAAATTCTGTAAACAATTGTATTTACATTTCACGCTATAGAGCAGAACATTACACACTGCCCTGCTTTGAGTTCTCCCGAACATGGTTTTGTTGCGGAGGGTAAGACGACGAACAACAAATTAGGTGACTCAGTGACGTTTGCTTGTGATCAGGGGTACACACTGGACGGAACTCCTACATTGACCTGTTTTAAAAGATACAGCTTAGCTCTCCCTGGGAATTTCACCGATGGATTAGTGTGGGATATTGCGATGCCCGTGTGTAGAAGTACGTACAATATCAATGTTTAAATGTTTTTCAATTTATCAGCGTTCCAAAGCTTACGTCTATGTCGAATACAATTTTTAAAACTAAACATTTCTCAAACATCAATAATACTAATTATATAAAATAAATGAGCATGTTTTTCATTGCTTCCTGGTCATCTCAACCCAGTAAAACCCAACCCAAAGTTAAGTAAACCCCTGTAAAACTCAACCCCAAGTCAGGTCAACCCTGTGAAACTCAACCTCAGTCAAACTCAACCCCTATATTTTTATTAATTGATAAACTTATATTCCAAATGATACGAAAGTTTATTTCATAAAAGAAAAGTTTTTATAATTCTTAGACCCACCTTTTATAGTTAATAATGGGTATATCTCCAAATTGTCATTGTGGTACAAATAGGATTAACATATGGGTCATTTTATTAATCTTGCTAATACAGATGTTTTGTTGTAATCCCCATGAGGTTAATACTGGAAGATGAAAACTGCTTTCAGTCCATTAATTAGTAAATATTAATGAGGTCTTAAATCAAATAAGTGACGACCTGATGAATTATCCTTGAGAGCTTTACTGATTTTTGAATGTTTTTAAAACTTTCTATTCAAAGTATCATGCAAAATGCTAGATTTTCAGAAATTAATGACTTAAATTACTCATTGTAAAATCTAATTGGAAATCGCACAAATGAATAGGGTTGAGTTTTACTGGGGTTGAGTTTTACAGGGTTGAGTTGACTTGGGGTTGAGTTTTACCAAGGTTGAGTTGACTTGGGGTTGAGTTGACTTGGGGTTGAGATGACCTGCTATACTTGACAAGCTATTTATGCTGAAATTGTTATAATTGTTGAGTAAGTAATCTAAAAAATAAGATGTAAAGTTTATGTATTAATTATGATCAAACCATAAAAGCCGAATATAGATGATTTATGAACTTTTATTTTAGCATCAGATACTGGTGACTGCCCTGACCTTGTCCTACCAAAATACGGACAATTAATTGGCGCTTCGCGACTCACAGGAAACGAAGTAGGTGATCGTATTATTGGGGGATGCAGGAAGCCATACATAAAACAAGGAGAACGGGTACTTGAATGCTTACGTAATGGCATTTGGAACAAACCAATTTTTAGTTGCCATGGTAACGTAATCCTCAATTATTGCAAGTAAAATGTGGAGCAAATATATGTATTTTAATTAAGAATTATAGACGTAAGAGCAGTAATATTGTCGAATACACCCACAGGGCTAAGGACAAACGTTTTCTCTAGCTCTGTGGGCTGTATTCGACGATACACCTGCTCTGAGGTCTATATTACGATTTGAAAATGAAATCTCACCAAAATGTTTCGAATATTCATCATGGTCCGCCATAACCACAGGCTGGCATCGAAAGATTTGGCCGCTGTGCCGGAGCATGCTATTTTTCATAAAAACACTAAGAATACTTCACAATTTATTTTTTAACTCATATGTTTCGTTATATCAATGAAAATTACTTACTCCATGCAATGGATACATCATTTGCGAGTAACCTTCGGCCCCTTGAGTATCATACCCTCAAATGGACAAGGTGCAATTAATGGCAAATATCCCTATGGTCAAAATGAATCATTCGTAGGTGTAACATGAAGAATAAAATGTCATATAATACTTTGGAAAATATTAAAGTGCTCGGACACACATAAGCTGAGATAGGGATCATTTCGTTCAGTAAGGTTGTATTGACTTACATGGGGCTGTGCACCATTGACTTAACATGAGGATATCAGCAGATCCCAATAGAGGCCATTGGTTTCCATTGATTATCACAGAAATACCAAAAATACACTATGACCTGAATCGATTGCAAACTTAATAATTTCACAATACGACACAAATGGTTTATCTCATCAAATGTGCAAATATGAAGTTTGCAATCGATTCAGGTCATACTTAAAATTAAAAGATTGTACGTTTTTTCATCATTTTTTTCCCTACAAAATGGCTATAGAAAAATGCTCCAAAAACAACTTTTACACTTAGCAAATATCATACAAGTTTGTAAAACCAAAGATTATACTATTATATTTCATTATGTAGTAACATATTTGGATAAGATGCAGGGATGCGTAGGATGTAAATGGATTTTGACAGACACAAAAATACTTCCTGGTTTGGAATCTATGCCTCTACACTTGATGATTGAATTATGACCCTAATTAGTGGCCTATATATCAATACAGTGCTGAATATAGGTCAACAAGATACTAGTGTGCATATAAATGTAATAATTGAAGCAGAATACTCATTTTGAAAAATCAGATGAATTATTTTTTTCCCATGGGGAGATCCCAATGGAGGGTGTATAAGGTCCTTTACCATAATCTTTTTTAAGTTGTTAATGGCATTATATAGTGACACTATAATATATACATATGTTTTCAGCATAACTCTGAATCTATTTATGAGATCTGGATGTATTGGGTCTTTTTGACTTTTTTTTATAAAAAAATAATGTTTACATTTTTTTGTCCTCTGTGATGGAGCATTTTCATCGTTCACATTTGCAACTGCTCCGTCACAGCGGACAAAAAAATTAAACACTATATTATTTTATTATATAAAAAAATTAAATTAAAAAGACCTAATACATCAATATCTCATTAATACTTTCAGAGTTATGCTGAACACATTAGTAAATATTATCGTAGCACTTATCGTGTCGTTGATAAGTTAAACAAGAAATGGTACATTTTGGAGTAAACTTCTCTGGTGCCATTTTCAATAGCTTTTCCTCCGAGCGTTATTGGACTTCAAACAGAAGTAAAAATTACCCGCAAATGATACATCCAGTGCATGGAGTAAGTAATTTTCTTTGGTATAACGAAACATATGAGTTAGAAAAAATTGTGTAGTTTTCTTAGTGTTTTTATAAAAAATAACATGCTCCGTCACAGCGGAAAAATCTTTCGATACGAGCCTGTGATTACTAAGGGGCGCCGTTATGACATTACACATTACTCGAATTACCAGGGGTATTGTTCGCTAATATAACCCGGGTGAAATCTTGACTTTTTTCACTGTTTGTAGAGAGCGTGAATACAGTCATGTTCGAATACATTAACAAAATCCCCTACTCGATGCGGCGTGACCTAATATACGTCCATGCTAAATTAAGACCAGTTGACGTATTTTCCTAGGAGTGTCCTAGAAAAATAAGTCCATGGACTTACATGTCAAGGAAAATAAGTCTCGGAGACATATACTTAGGTTTGTATGTCAAACAGTTTACTGGAACCTTTTTGTCATTTAAGCGAGTAATGCCACGTGTCCTGACGTCATTCTTGAAAAAGAAAGCAACCTGGTCGTACTTCGGGGAAAACTTGTCGGAAATGTTTTCTATGACCGAATCATATTTGGCTGTAAACCTGGCTACAAAATAATTGATAGCTATTATTATATGGTATGTGATAACACAGGAGGGTGGAGTCAACAAATTCCAATTTGCACTGGTAAGAAATAACCTCATAGTTAAATGTAGATAAGTTGAACAGCAAACGAGTACACAATGTTTGTGTAACTATGAAATATAACATTGAATTTAAGATGCAACACATGATTATATACCTAATGACACGAGAGTTGTTTAATTTCAGATTGCACAAAACCTTGTCCACCCGGGAAAATTCTTGATGAAAGGTGTACAACTTGTATTTGTCCCTTTATTAATATTTTTGTGTACAATACAAAGATGGTCCCTATAGATGGCGTCACCGTATCAAGAGCAGGGACACCTGTAGATGAAGAACTTGGACAAACGAAAAATGGTTTGATCAATATTAAAGCGTGCCCATCAGATAAGTTGGTGTTTAAAAAGACCAAATACGTGGATGTGAACATCATTGTTGAAAGTGATAGAGCTGAGCCGAATAACGTCATAATTGAATCTATGGGTACGAACATATACACCGTATATCCAATCAAACGAAGTTCCAGATAATCCCACCCGTAATTAATTGATATTTTAATTAAGAAACATACATTCGCCGAACTTCTTCGATTTGAAACTTTATGAAATCGTGCTCAAATGAAAAACTTAGAAAGGGCGTTCAATTGTCTAAAGGATGAGTCTGGGAATGAGTCTGGGTATCGACTTAGAAAATATTGAAAAATGTAATGTCTGAAAAACCAACTCAATCACATATATTATTAAACTTCAATATCTTATCCTTCTTCTGAGATTACAAAAATATCAATTTGTATCACAATTGATGAAGAATTTTGGCATCAAAGACAGTGCATATCACTCTGTCAGAATTGAAAAAAAATCAATGGCAAATATTATGAATTATTTATGCAAAAAGTTTGAAACATATCTTCCAAAACATTGGTTACTTTCTTTGAATAGACATTGAATGGTATTTCTGGATAAGTGAATTGGTGTTTATCTGGGTAATCAAGGGATTATAGTCACTCAAAGTTACTGAGCATCCAGTTTTGAGACTTCAATTGTGTTGATGATGTTACACATATTTCAGTCAAATTCATGTCGAGCACAACATTTTGGTTTCAATTTTATAATCTCTATACATGACCCAGGTGATGAAGAGTCAGAATCAGTCAAAAAACCTAAACTGGAAAACTGTGCTCATTGTGAAAACTAAAAGTGATGCAACTTTTTTTCTAATATTTCTTACATCAAATGGCAACCATCTTGTTTTCCCCCTCCTTCAAATTAAGCCCAGCTTCAAAGTAAACTGGCGGGAAATTCAAAAATTTGAAAAAATTTTAATCCTTAAATATATTTCAAAAATATGATTTTCTTTTAATTCTTCATGGGTCTTTAATTATTTCTTCTTTGTATGTCATACATGTTGCCATTGGTGTTTTTTCTATGATAATGACTATTTTTTTGTTTGTTAAGATACTTATTCCGACTCTCAGCAGGGGGTTAATTATGCATCACAACTCGTGAAAAAGTAAATATACTTATCAAATATAACTAGGACAGTAATAAAAACCATATTTCACATACATTTGACTGAGGGACCAAAATGGCATATACCCCGACACATCCTTTATGGTTGTAAATCTTTTGCGTCTAAGAAATAATCTGTACTACATTGTTAAAATAACGTCACGTAACAAGCCTTATAAAGCACTACAAATATATGAACAGCGTTGTTAATTTACTAAATGGCTATATTTTGTCAAGGATACTAACAACAACTTATCTTTGATAACTTTATTACGAATGCTTACCCATATTTAATATATACAACTGACATTTCACATTCTAGAATATCCTGAAATTGTCGAACATCCACAAGATATTTATGCTGTTATTGGTGATTCTATTCATTTCAAATGCCGTGCAATTGGGAAACCCAGGCCAGAAACTTACCAATGGTGAGACCTCTACCATTGATACCCACAAACCAAACTAAAAGTATTTGAAATGTTCCGTGCTATAAATAGTCTGTTATGTTTCATTCTGAACAATCACCAATATGTGGTGTAATACTGGGCGGAAAACAGCTTCAGTCTTACCCCAGTATTTTTCACGCCGCCATCGCAATCGTCTAAATAGATTTTTAATCAAAATTGAATATATTTTTTCCATTATTTACAATGACCTTTTGATAATAGGTACAAAAACGGAAAGATTTTACCGGACAGTAAACACACAAGCCAGAATCTATTAATAGAAAATGTCAAGATAGAAGATAAAGGTACATTTCATTGCAAAGCGAGTTCGAAGTATGGATCGACTGCATCTGATCCTGCGGATCTGGATGTTAAAGGTATTATACATAAGACCAGAAAACATTACAGGTAGATGGAGACCAATGTTAGGTACTATTTCTGATGATATGAACGCTTGTTCTTCATCTTCACGTAACGTTTATAGAAAAAATCATCTTCACGTAACATGAGTC